GGGGGGGGAGGAGAAGAGAGGGGGCCAGACCTAGGCCTCTGTCCCCACCTGCCCTTCCCACCCCCCCCATCATTCTTGATGGGCAATTTGCTAGTATTAAATCATCTCTTACTTGCTTCTGTCTTCACTTACCTCTGATTGAAGGTACCTTATTTGTACCTTACTTCACATAGCCAATATGCTACGACTGTCATCTTATTCCCTTGTGCTCCTGTCTATCACTATCTGTTGTCTTCCGTCTTGTGCTTAGATGGTAAGCTTTTGGGGGCAGATTTCATCTCTGTTGTGCACTAGGTGTTTGTATAGCATCTAGTGCAATGGAACAAGTCTGAATATTACTAGTACTGACCCTTTTTGTTCTTAGACTGTGAACACCTTGAGGCAGGGAAAAGCCCTTTTCAGTAGATGATAGGACTCCAGCATATTGCCAGTACTACTCAAATAAATAACCACCAGTCAGTAACTTCAAGCCCACTGTCTCAACTGGTATGTGACAGAAAAAAAAATTACATTTACAATACTGTTGCCTCAACATTAGTTACCTTAATAACCTGAAGCTATAGGAGCACTAGAGGCCTGTATTATAAACGAAATCCATGGACAGCATCGAGAGGGTCCAGAGGAGGGCCACTCGCATGATCAGGGGGCAGCAGGGCAGGCCCTACGAGGAGAGGCTACGGGACCTGAACCTGTTCGGCCTCCACAAGAGAAGGCTGAGGGGGGATCTGGTGGCCGTTTATAAACTTGCCAAGGGGGACCAGCAGGCAATGGGACAGTCCCTCTTCCCCTGGGCACTACCGGGAATAACAAGGAGTAAAGGCCATAAGCTGACTGAGAGTAGGTTCAGGCTAGATGTAAAGGAGGCACTATTTCACAGTCAGGACGGCTAGGAGCTGGAACCAACTTCCAAGGGAAGTGGTGCTCGCTCCTACCCTGGGGGTCTTCAAAGGGAGGCTAGATAATCACCTAGCCAGGGTCATTTGACCGCAGCACTCTTTCCTGCCATGGCAGGGGGTCGGACTTGATGATCTGCTCAGGTCCCTTCCGACCCTACCAACTACGAAACTATGAAAGATTCAGAGGGTGACATCCAAGACATTTGAGTGAAAGGCCACAATATGGAGAAGGGAGTAAACACTGATGTGCCACTCAAGTTCCTCTGTAGCACCATTATGTGGAGGGCTGCAGGAGGATGCAAGTGAGGCACAAAATTTGTGCTGGCCTTCTCAATAGTGGCCTTTGTCCACTATTGAGAAATTCAGATGCAGACAATCTGAGACGCTTCTGAACATCAGTCAATCCCAAAGCAATAAACACAGAACACTCCCTTTCATCCCACTGCTTCAGGGGGTGCAAGGACTGAGCCAACAGGGTATCTGTTACTACAGTATTCTTTGGACTATCTAATCTGAACATTGACAGGTCAGAGCTTCAGACTGCCCAAGTCCCTGATCTTCTGAAATCCATCGTGCTTACCTGGCGTTTTAGGAGCTGGCACACCTGTATTGTGAAAGAGATATCTAGGCACAATTTCTGATGGACTCACTGAGATACCACAGTTCTGGGTGCAGTATGAAATCCAAACAGAACTAAATAGAATATGTGAACACTCATAAACATGGTGGCAACCTTTAGATTCTTACAGGTCATCCACTTGCAAAAGTTACTTTAATGCCAGTATTGGCTCATTTGTAGCTCACAGATGAAAACATTAGAATATTACTAACTAGATAATGTTTCTCCATTATTAACAGGATGACATCTGCTACATGAACCAACCCCTCTTTCACTCCAAACCCCCCAACCTCCAAAGCAAAAAAATACCATATCCGTCAATAAGAGCTAGAGACTCTGGAGTCCCCATGAGACCTTACTATTGTCACTGTTACTGAAGTATTGTAGTGATAAGTGGCAGAAAAGTGAATGTACTTCAGAAAGTATCTTAGTTCACATGTCCAGTAGGGGAAGAATTTATGTTGCTTATTAGGTTTAAATTTTCCAGTGTGCCTAAGCAGTTACACGCTTAGAAATCCATGAACTTTTAGTGAGATTTAAACTCCATAGGGATGGATTTTTTAAAGTGATTAAGTTCCTGCAGATGCAGATGATAGATGCCTGGTAGATTTTTGAACAATGCCTGCACATCTGTACCTCACCAAAATTAATGGCACTTTGCTGTAGAAACACAATTGAAAATCCAAGTCAATTTGGCTAGAGTCATTAACAAAACCAGTTTAGCTAAACTAATTTTGACTGCTTTTATTCCAGAATCAGAGCGTCCACATGTGGGCTCGTACCAAAATAACTAAATCAGCTTCAATTCATAGCAGTAGTTATTCCTGTGCAAGTTTGTGCATACATCTCTTGCCGTGAAATAATACCGCTGCACCTTATTACCACTTTCTTTGTGTCATAATGCAGACATAAGAAACTCATTATTTTTTTCACCAGGAAAGAAATCCCCTTCAGGCTTCTCCAAGATCTGTGGCAAGAATCCCATCAGTTCTGTTGGGACTAGGGTTTTCAATCAGTTGCTCAGTACTAGGTCAAAGCACCCGTGGTGCTGGGCACTGAATTAATTAGATTCTTTTCTAGGTTTTGTTGACCTTGAACTGCACAGAATATAGTTGATAAGTAACTAGTTACAAGAACAGAGACTGCTGTAGTCTCCATTCTTCCTTTTCAGCAAACAGTTTATCAGAGCAATTGACCAATGTTCAGAGCTCTGGTTCAAGTGGAACCCAGCTGAAGTACAGGAAACTTCAAAAGTTAAAAATGTTTGTGAAGTATGTGCTTCTCTGGTATCTAAATGCAAGTTTAAAATGCCATAGCCCTGATTCTTTGGGTGACTGGGTTGCCTGAATGCTTAGCACCATGCAGGGTCAGGCCCTATACTGATTATTCACTGCTTCTTAGAAGCAGCTCCAGCCTCCTAAGACTCAGCTTCAACAAGCACTCTGAGGATTTGATCCTAACCAGGGTGATGGAAATGGTTGAAGTGCTGCTCACTGGTGCAGCTTAGTTTATTATGTCCTCAAGGGAGGGACTGTAATACTGGATAAAACTTGATGGATTTCTTTTTCTGTCTGTGGAATGTCTTGGTCAAAAGAGTGCAGCCTTGGGGCAGCTGGGGATACTTGTGACTATGGGTTGAATTGGATGGATAGTTTTAGTCAAGGAAAAAAAAAATGTTGAAATAGTTCATTTTGACATTTCAGAAACTGTGTGTCTTTTGGCTACATTTACAAGAGGACTTAGGATGCCAGTCAAAACAGTGGAAGAAAAGGAAGTGGGACTGGAACCCAGATGTCCAAGCCTTCCAGGGGAATGCCTCACCCTCTGACCATAGAGTCACTCTTACATAGTCCCTCTGGCCCAATGAACATTTAAATATTTTATATATAGTGGAACACCTCCAGCAGGACACAGTCGTACCCCCACTGTGTCCAATGGCAAGACACTCATCTTCGCTGTAGAGGACCCATGTTCAAGTCCCAGCTTTGAATTAGGCAGAGATCAGATTTGAACCTGACTCTTCCAAGTTGCAGGTGAATGCCCTGACCCCAAGCTATTGTGTATAATGTTAGCATACTAACACTGACTCAGTTTTGGGAATGATGGTAAATTCCAGTTGTGAATCTAGCCCTTCCTTGTCAAACATTTGCTTTTGTTTGATGCAAAATACATTTTTTCCCATTAGTCAAACATCAAAAAAAAAAAAAAAAAAGTTTAATTTAGGATAGATAGAAAATGTTTTCCTAGTTTGGCCAGTGAACTGAAAAAATCATTTAATTTACCTCTCTCAAATACTCTATTTGTTCTAGTTCAAGAGGCTGCTTCCTACACTAGGTGGTACCAACTACTTCAAAGGAAGGTACAAGTAACATTGCAGAAGATTGTTATAGAATAGCTTGTCCACAGGAAAAGTTTCTTCCAGATGCTTATTTGGTAGAGGTTGGCCTTGATACAGGAGGCATTATTTCCCATTGTAACTGCACTGGAATATCAAAACCTCTAAACCTTAGCCTCACTCCATGCCCACTGAAGTTAGTGTCTATATAACAAGGGTCGTTAACCAGGGGTACATGTACCTCTGATGGTACTTGGGAAGCCCCAGGGGTACACGGCAGTGGTGCGGAGAAATGGAGGGCACTTCTGGTTTCGCCACGGGGGCTTCCAGTTTCGCTTTTGCGCGGGTGACACCCCCACTTCATTGATTGACCAGGGAACTCTGCTTCTTGGCCGGCTGCCAGGGATACACCAACCAGAAAAGGTTGAAAACGCCTGCTATATAATATAGCACAAAGATATATAGAACCTGACTGCCCTTTTGCACAAAGGTTATCAAAGTCATTGTGACAGAAGTGAGAATTAGTTGATTCTAGTTTAATAATGGAACAGTTTTGCTGAGAAGAATTTGTGGTGCCAAGTATTTTTAACTTACTCCAACATGGCTCAGCCAAACCTGGAGTTTATAGCTGCTCAGTTTTGTGTAGGTCATTGTCTTTTCCCACACATTTTATTTTTAAATCCCTAGCAACATGTGAATGGGAACCAAATGCAAGAGAGAATTTGTTGACCAAAAGAAAATAAAGGGATGGTGCCAAAATAGTTTCCATAGAGAGTGCAAGGAACCTTCAAGTCAAACACTCCTAAAATTGTAAATTACTCCAATTAACACATGAAGCAGTTGAAGGGAGGTTTGGTGCTCCTCACTGATCAGACACATGCGTTTTCTAAAGCACTGAAGGCCAAGTTGTGTGTGTTCAATTCCTGTTGAGGTTAAAGCCATACACAAAACTCCCATTTAAGAAAGAATTTGGCCCAGAATCATTTATTCACCGATTGATGTGTGAGGTATTTCTACACGTAACTATCTTAATACTGTGATAAAAATACATCCAAGTAAAGTAAAAATTGTAAGTCACTGCAGGCAATCTTTGGAATATGCTTGCAGAGCTGTAATTAGTCCCATGCTAATTAGATATACTTGATCACTCTAAAAACGGAACACAGTGCACTGTGATGAAATCAGAATCTAGGGTATCTGTAGACATATTTAAATACAAGTCAGTAAGGGACAATTGATATATTTAAGGAACCCTTTCATCATCTTGTGGAGCCCAGCAGGATGAAAGCTCAAAAGCATGTCTTGTTAAGCAGCTACATGACAAGCTACATAATGTTTTGAGTACATGGGCTTTGCTGGCCTATGAAATCCAGGAACAGTGGAGCCTACTCCTGAGTGCCATCCATTATCTTTTTACATATGTCAGACACTCTTGTAACACATCTCATAAAGCAAGCAAAAAAGCACCAAGCCAGTACAGAGACTGCCAGGAGCTGCTGCACCCCTACAGTGACTGTCATGAGAAAGGCAAATAAAGGCCAGGGTATGAAGTGGTGCCAGGACCAGAGGGAGATTAATGAGACTCCTACAAAGGTAGAAAGAGTGTGACAGCCATTTTGGGATTCTCCTTCCCTTCTATGCTGGCAATAAAGGAAGAAATAAGGAGCTATTTGGCAAGCTTGGTTGGCATGCCCATATTCTTATAGGATCAAGCTAGACAGCATAGTGCAGAAACACAGTATACCTGTTCTGTGCCTGCTACACCCTGGAATAGATATAATGGAGCCACCTGAGGCACTGGGCACACACCTATCTGCATGCAAAGACAGCATACTTATTGGCACACACCTGGCACTGCACTCAGATGGCTACATTATATCTGCTTCTGGGTACAGCTCCTGTGCTGTGCTTCACTATGGGATTTCTTAGCCTATCCCTTTGACATAGTAGATTTTCCCTTTAAAAACACAGAAATACAGCTTGGAGATAGGATGGCTTTCCTTTGAAGCACGGAGTCAGTTTGTCCATGGCTTGAAATCAATGAGAGATCACTTGCATACAGGTACACATGGATTTCAGTATATTTGCTCTGAGGGGGGGGGGGGGAAAAAAAAAGGGAACTTTTGTTGTGCAATTTTGATCCAGATGGAAATACAATCCACACTCTTACCTGTTGTTTGTTTTCCAGCCAGTTCCTCTTTAATCTGTTCTCCCTCTGGATTTAATGAAGTCAGGATTCACACAGCTGTTCTAGTCTGAGCACACCTGGTTAACTCTTCCTGTAAGCCAAGGGTTTAAATGTTACTATAATAGCAAAAACTTCATTCTTTCATTGCTATATTAAATCTTGCATTAGAAATCTTGCCAGATTTAAGATTATGTGGGCTCCCAACTGAACATATCCCTTCCATCTCCAGTGACTACAATTTAAAGGACTGGGTTTCCCCCTCCTTGTCCTCCTGTGCTAGCTGAGGAGCATAGGCCAGAAAAAGATAGACTTCCTGCCTCAGCTCAGTTTTCTGTTTTCATCAGGTAGAATAGATATTTATTCTCGAGGCTGGTTTGGTTTTAGAAAGGTGGTGAGGGTTAGACATTTAGTGTTTAATAGGTCAGAACCACATGTTGGATCTTGAGTGCTGGATTTTGCAGTCGAGTTGCAGTACTCTCTCAGAGGTGTAAAAAGCACATGTATGAAGATAGCCAGGCTGGCCTTTGCTGCATGCCAACCGGTGCGTTAGACATAAATTTGGCAACAAAAAGCAGGCGAGGCTTTTTGGTACATCACCTCTTTCATCCAGAGATGCTGATTTTGAGATTTAAAAAAAAAAAAAAAAAGCAGCAGTTGGGTTTTGAAATTCTTTGTTCCCATCAAACATAAATATGTCTCGTTTCATTGTCCCTCCCCAAATACCTGCTACAGTGCCACATGTTACCGATAAGTTGATGAGCAGTAAAGTTATTAAAACTGGTGCTATTTAAAGTATCCAACTATGCTTCAGAGTTAACAACTCATTGAGGTAAACAGAGTAGTTCAGATTTTGCAAAGCAATTGTCTTGTGTTGTCTGCAAATTCCAGCCCAGTCATTGCTACAATTAAAAAAAAAAAAATCTGTCTTCTGCCATCGTAAAGGCTAGCAACTGTGATACCTTTAGTGGAAGCTGAGATTTCTGAACTATTTGAAAGTGCATTCTGGATACCATTTTAAAACAAAATAAGAAATTCCTTTGAACCATCTTTATTACATGGGGGTGCTGAATTTGCCAAAGTGCAACAGTAAGGCGAGAAGCTTGTGTTTGAGAATTTTGCCAATACCCAAGGGCTAGATGCTTAACTTAGACCTGCTTGTGCACAGGACCAAAGTGGGCTAATATTGTGCAAGGCTGATGCTGTCTGCACAAGCACATAGACTGTTGCTCTACAGAGACAGGGCAATCTTTCAGCAGCATAAAGTATTGTACTCACCTCTAGGGAATGGCATGCTTTGACTGTCAGTAATCATTGTAGCCTATTGCAATGCTCTGGTTGCTCATATTTGGATCTGAAATTTAAAAGGTATTAGAAACACATTTCATGAACACAATCTATTCCACATATTCATTAGAATCAACAACATGGCTGAGCCTTTTCTGATGCACAAGCTTGTCCCTGTGCATCACGCTCCTGAATAAATTACCATATTATTGTCTTTCTTTTTGAATTTGTGCTCCAGAATGGCATAGTCCCCTACCACCCGCTGTCAATCCCTATTCCCAGCAGTGTTGTGTGGACTCTACAAAGCATGAGCCATCCACATTCAGTAGTGTGACATTTCTGCCATCAATTTATTTAAAAAGCAAACTCCTCATTCTTTTTATTGCAGAGACAGCCTGGAAACAGTCCTGTAAGCCAGTGGTCAGGGAATAGAGCAACAAGCAGCTAGGGTCCAGTTCTGGAGTAAGAAGTTGGTTAGGATCCCCTCGTCCAGGCCCTCCTCCCCCATAGACATACTCTGCATGCAAAATAGGTCTATTCTTGGGTTTCATTCCATTCACACAGTATCATAGACCAGCTCCATGTATAGCAGTGTGGTGCTACTATGCAAAATTAATACCATTTGGGGGAAGGCCTGACAGAACCTTGTAGCCCAGCCTTGACTAAAAAGGCTACTTAGCCAGTTCTTGTCATTTCATTGCATTGTAGGTTGTGTGTGGTAGGGAAGTGGGAGCCATCTGAAATGTGAGAAGCTTTAGGCAAACAGAAGATGAATAGCTGCTCATTAAATCCTGCACAATTTATGGCAACTGGGGTGCTGTGTAATTTGCATGCCTAAACATTTCTGACTACAACTAATTAGGAGCTGAAAGAGCCCTTCCTTCAGGGACAACACATTTTAATCCATTAAATAGCTAGAGTCAGGTCTGATATTTTACTGCAATAGAAGCCTTTCTTTGTGGGGGCTTGTAGTCCTGCTCTAGCTGGGTAAATGTCTGTTTCACAAAAGCCACCAACAGAATTGGCACCTCTCAGGCTCTCTCAGGAGAGGGGTCTAACAAGTTAACCGTCTTCTGGCCCTTGAGAGGGTTCCCTCAGGTCAGGTTACACTCCTGCCTTCTGTCATGCCCTTGTACAGTAGAGGACTCTAGCAGGCTCCAAACATGTCAGTCAGGCACCTTGTACAAGCAGTTTATTTCAGACAGCAGCATTCAGACTTCTTGAAGACATGAAAACCTTTCATTTTGCATCTCCTGCCACAGAGGCCTCACCCCTATCCTAAGGACAAGTGCAGAGCCAGGCAGCCTAGCCTAGTAATGGCAGCACACCACCTTCTGCCCACTCCACTATTACCCCCAGTCTCTTTGCAGAACCCCTGATGATCTACTGAAACCCCAGGGTTTCACAGCACACAATTTGAAAGCCCATGGGTACTCAAATGTAGGTAACAATTCAGGCATGCAGGAAAGCGCTTAATGTGCACTTGCAGTAATCTAGTTCATGCTTACCTTTAGGCCTGTTCAAGAATAGGCATAAGTATAAGCTTAGTTTTAAGCCTGTGATTAAGCTTTTGGAAGAAGTACTTATTTATGGGCTTCAGGTTAAGCACTTGCTTAACTATCCTGCTGAGCTGAGACCATAAAAAGAGTCCACATCAAACACCATGCTGCTGCAGCTAGACTGCATCCCTCTTGTGGTCCACCCCACTTGTTGGTCTTTACCTGGCCCAACCTTATCTCCAGTCTCTTGCCTGCCATAACTTTGATGTTACTCTGTTGGTTGTTGGGGAAACGGTCCTTGAGGCTGAGTGTATTCTCGCTGGTCCTGGTCCACTTGATCAGGCCAACACCACCTTGGTACCTTTGCTTTCTCTATGGTACTTCCCCTTTAAACTGGGGGAGGGGGGTGTGCTCATGTAGGATTCCAAGCATTTGTTGGGGTTTCAGCTGTCACAGCCTTAGCCCCTTTTTTTTCTGACCATACCATCTGCCCTGGCCTATTGTTCAAGACTTCAGCCTTCTGGATATCAGCCTTGCCTTGATGGCAGGCCCCCTCCTTTTCTGGGGGTGTCCACTTTCACCTTGTAAGCCTCTGCCCCCTGGCTTGGGGCTGATTTCAAGTACCTATTGCAGGGAACTGCACTCAAGCACTCCCACCGTTCATGGTGTCCTCTACCCTTATAGCCACAACCCAGTCCTCCAGTCTCAAGTCTAAAATGGGACAGCAAAAAAGAAACCACAAGCCAACTGATTTATAACAGATAGTCTCTCTCCCTTGTGGTAGTGTATCCCACAGGCCTTACCTTTCATCAGAGCCCTCTCATCTGTAGCTCCCTTGTGTTGCTTGTGATGTCTGTGTCTACCTGCTCAGAGACTGGTCTTATAGCCCCCAGCTCAGCCTCCTTCCAGTCATCTGATTGGACCCTCTTCCTCTATCTGCTAGGGCCAGGTGTAGCTCATTGCTTCATTAGCTGTCTGGCCTTTTCATCCCTGGTTCAGGCCACCTGGGCCTCTGCACTGGTTGCCTTGCCTGACCCCTGCTTTCCTACCTATTCAGGTCACCCTATCAACAAGGGCACGGGTTCCCTGTTACATCAGACAAAAGTTCCATAGCTGAATACTGTTTTGAACCTCTTTATACTATGCTGAAATTGCTTCCACAACTGCAGTATAGACATGCCTGTTTCAAGGAATATATATGTGCAAACTTGCAAGGTCATGTGTTGAAGTTATTCTTGAAAATATGATCCTTAATATTCAGTGTACACAGTTACTCCTAAGTGAACCCCATGCTTAGCCAGCATCCTTACTGGCTAGTGGAATACTGGAAAGATAGGGACACGCAAAAGCTAGACGTGAAGCTGTGAACCAAACTGTTTAGTAGCTAAACATTGGATAGCATACAGGTAGCAATCACACAGTTTTCTTTTGTTGTAATGCTTTCCAAGTAAAGTCCAGAGAAACTACATTGTCCTGCAAAAGAAAACAAGCCAGTTAATTAGCATGAATGGTTGGACTGGGTCCATCCACCCATGATACCAGGCAGATCTGGAATTTCCTTCAGAGCCTTGGCTGCCAAGAGCCTATAGGGCTATATAATGTGCCAAGAACAGTTCAGGGAAGCCAAATCCAAGTTTGACTGGAGGTGTGGCATAAAAGGAGCTATTAATTTGAACAGCAACAGGGACCGACACGTTGAAAAAAAAGCAGCCCTGAAATGAAATGTGTAATTAGGATATCATTGAATTTTCAAGAAACAGGCAGAGCAGCAAACTCAGCCTTATGAAAAAAACCCCATACATATCAGTAACACTAACTGCAGAGGAAGAGAGGTTATAGAAAACAAAACTCAACCTATAAGAGCAGCATTGTGATCATGAACAGTTCATACAAGGATCATCTGATGGTTTCTCTGTTGGCTACAAATGTCCAACTCGGGA